CAACGTGGTGACCTAGCAACTAAAGTCCTTGCCTTACACACACTGAAATTTCATATGGGTGCCAGTTTTAATTCCGCTTCCCATCCAGCTCCCTGTTTGTGGGCTGGAAAAGCAGTTGAATCGAAGATGGCTCAAAGCCTTGAGCCCCTGCACCCACATGGGAGGCCCAGAAGAAGCTCCGGGCTCCTGGCTTCGGATGGGTGCAGCTCCAGACATTGCAGCCACTTGAGGAGTGAATCACCAGATAGGAGATCTTTCCCTCTGTCTCTCCTCCTCTCTATATATCTGACTTTGCAATGAAAATAAATAAATAAATCTTTTTTTTAAAAAAGAAGTCCCCTAAATGACTCCAGATCTAGAACCAGAGAGCATAACACAAAGCCATTCACAGATGTGTTAGGCACTGTGCTCCTTGGGCCCTTCCCCATGCCTCAGGCTTTGGAGTGACATTTAAGCTATGACCTAGAGACAGAGCAGAGAGTGTTCATGGCAGTGTTGAAGGCACCTTTGATTTGCGGTCACCTGTTATCTCTCCCTAACTGAGCTCATTCAAGGCTGCCATGGCTGGGCAGGCGTTCCACACAGACCCTGGTTTGTGGCTCTCTGATTGATCACAATGGTCAAGGCACAAGCATTTGGGAAATGAGGTCTCAGGTGTCAACAGGCCTGGGATGCTCCCATCTGTCATTGTCAGGAACCCCTGGGGGACCACAGGCTCAGGGTGTTAGAATTTCTTCATTTCTATCTGCTGACCTTGTATTTGCAGAAGCAAGATTTCTTAGCACTTTGCATAATTTTGCCTCTTACCTTAAGGTTGAATGGAATTCTTTGTTTCTTTTTTTTGATATTTATTGTTATTAGAAAGGCAGATTTACAGAGAAAAGGAGACACAGAGAGAAAGGTCTTTTATACTCCCAAGTGGCCACAATGGCCGGAGCTCACCTGATTTGAAGCTGGGAGCCAGGAGCTTCTTCGGGTCTCCCACATGAGTGTAGAGTTCCAAGACTTTGGGTTGTCCTTGACTGTTTTTCCAGGCCACAAGCAGGGAGCTAGCTGGTTGGGAAATGGAGCAACTGAGACACGAACCGGCGCCAATTTGGGATCCTGGTAATTGCAAGGTGAGGATTTAGCCACTAAGACATTGCACCGGGCCTGGTTGAAAAGATTTTTTTTTTTTAAGATTTATTTTTATTGCAAAGTTAGATATACAGAGAGGAGGAGAGACAGAGAGAAATATCTTTCATCTGATGATTCACTTCCCAAGTGACCTCAACGGCTAGTGCTGAGCCAATCCAAAGCCAGGAGCCAGGAACTTCCTCCAGGTTTCCCACGTGGGTGCAGGGTCCCAAGGCAGTAGGCCATCCTCGATTGCTTTCCCAGGCCACAAGCAGGGAGCTGGATGGGAAGTGGGGCTGCTGGGATTAGAACCAGCACCCATATGGAATTCCAGCGTGTTCTGGTCGAGGACGTTAGCCACTAGGCCACCACGCCAGGCCCTTTTTTGAGATTTCTAAACTCAAATCTGGACTTTACCACTTACATTCTCTGTGCTGTTTAAACAGCATTCTTAACTCCTCTAAACTTTGTTGGTCTTTTTGTCTGTAAAAGTGGCGGTTATGGGGACTGTCTTGAGGCAAGATCCAGCACTTCATCTTATTAAAAAACAAAATGGAGAAAAAACTTGAGATTTCTACTTCCATCAGTACAGGCTTAAAACATTCTCCACCTTGAAAAAAAATGGGGCAAGAGCTGTGGCACACCTGGTGAAATCGATGCTTGCAACGACAGCATCCCATATAGGAGTACCAGATTCAGGCCCAGCTGCTCCACTTCCAAGCCAGGCCCTGCTAATGAGCCTGCAAATACAGGCAGAAAAATGGTTTTTCAAGTGCTTAGCCCCTGCCACCTACATCCAAATGGAGTCTTGGGCTTGTGGATTCATGCTGAGCTAGCCCCAGCCAATGTGGCCACTGGGGAAAATAAACCAACCAACAAATGCAAGATTGTCCCTCTTCTCTGTCAATCCTTATCTGTGGCTCCATCTTGAAACTAGCTAACTAACAAATAAATCTTTAACAATATATTCTGCAGTCATAAACCTTAGGTACTAGATGAACTGCAAACATAAATGCAAATGATAACTGATAAAGCAGAAAGATTCTCTGTCTGTCCCTGTTTGTCACTCCATCTTTACACTAACTAACCAAATAAATCTTTAACAAATATTCTGCAGTCACAAACCTTAGGTACTAGATGAACTACAAACATAAATGCAAATGACAAATGATAACGCAGAATTTGAAGTGTTGTCAGTCCCCAAATGAGACAAGAAAAACAAATTTACATTAGATGCTGGGAATCAGGAGCACAGGGTCCTGTGTGCAAGAGGAGATTGATGAGAGACAAACCATGAGTGGCAACATGAGAGGTAAAGAGAAGCTGGACCGAAGACCTCTAGCCAGAAGTTCAGACCTAAGAAGGTGTGTCTCCTAGGCTGCTGTGACACTGCACAAACCTGGGATGTCCCAGTTCTTTCTGATTTGGCTACAAGCTTCTTACTGATTAGTCAGGGTCTTGCCATCTGAAATCTCCTTGCAAGGAATCTGCTCCTTGAGAAAATGGAGACGAAGGGGTGGTGATAGGCTAAGGGGAAAGCATCCATCTGCCAGAGAGCTGCCAAAGAAATCGGCTCTCTCCAGAGACTCCAGGCCAGCAGAAAAGGACTGCGCTGGGTGGGCACAGGCCTGCCCTCACAGGTCTGAGTTCCAGTTTGTATCCTGTGGGCACACATGGACAGCCCATCCAGGAAATCAACCTGCAGGAATGTTAGAGTGGAGCTGCGGTAGCAGTGGCGAAAGGCAAGGGCACATTCTCTGGGTGAGAATCTGGAGCACAGATGCCCCCAGGATTCATCTGTAGGACACATGAGGAAGGGTTGTGTTCTTAGAAAAATCCTCGCCTGTAAAAGGAAAATCAACAGCTCAACAGAAACACAAAGGGTACAGAGAGATAATTCAAGGAAAGGCATGGCCTGGGAGGTCCTTGACACACTCAGTCTGTCTTACTTTTACTTTTAAATGTGCTAAAATACTATGGGGATCTGTTAAGTTAAATTCAAATACATTTTGTATGACAAGACTCACTTTCAAATCAGTAATATATACTGTGTGGGTTGAAAAGACATCTGTGTATCCTTTCTAGGTGGTAACTTGCCTATCAAGTATATCATTAAGGTTTTCTGATAATCTAATCCAGTAAATTCACTTTTAGGAAATTATCTTCAGACAATCTTGGGTGAATAATATTCCATAGAAATAGATCTTCACTAGATATTCACACACATACACACATGCATATGGTCAGCCATATTTTTTCTGAAGTACTTGAGTGCTTCTTTTATCTGTGAACTCAAGATAAAGTTATGAACACCATGATTTAATATTTGGTCTACTCTTCATATTCCAGTTTGGCCAGTTGCCATATAACAGCTCCTATAAACTTCCTTTTTCCTCCAGTACAGGGGCCAGTCTATGAGTAAGCATTGCAGTTAGTGGTCATGTCTCATTCACTCTTTGTTCTATGATGTTGAGATTTTTGACAAAGGTAGCCTCCCCTCACTAATGAGGTGATCTTCATTTTTACATTTCCTGCTATTCCCTCGTGCTTGTGCTAGGAGCATGCTTTCTGGGTCAATATATTATATAAACATTGGTGGGTGATTCTCACAGTACCCATTGTCCTCCAAGATTCTGACCACCAGTGAGGGTGTTTTCTGATATCCCCAGTGTATGAAACAACTTCAAAAAGTTCATAAAAAAAATAAAGTTGGAAAAAATGCTTATTTTAGTGCAAAGTGTTTTAAATCCAAGCATAGCTCTTTCATAAACTTCTCGATGACCCTTCATTGGCATGGCTTTTAAAATACTTTCTGCCCTTCTTTTAATTACATTTTCCACAAATTTTGGGAAGTTCCCCTCTTGTAATTACTGGATTTTGCTACCTTTCTTTGTAGCTAATAAGAGTTTCTGAATAGAAACTCTGAGAACATGTGTATATTCTCCACATCAAACCACCCTCATACCCACATCAAAATGCCGACAATGCTCTCAGTCACTTCCTGCCTGATCCAGTCTTTACTATCATGGTTGCGAATTTCTGATTCCTCAACTTCAATATCCACCCAAGAGTGAGCCCTCTTTTTTTTCTTCCTATCTACCTACTGCCCATCAGTCTTGCACTGTCCTGGATTAATTCCTCCTCTTTCAATGACTTGTCACTACTTTCTTATACCTAATTGTTATATGACACCTGCAAGCTGTTCTCTCTATCTTGGTTGATATGCACCTTTGGGGCTTTGTGTTTGTTTTGTCTACCCTGTCCCTACGCGAGAGTCACCCATTTCTCCAAGGAGCTCTGATTCTTTTTCAGTGGAAAATTCGAGTATTGGAGCACTAGAGATCAAGAGCTGAGTGGGTAGGGGTCCTCAGTGCTATTGTGATGTCTTTACTTTCTGGACCTTTCAGCCAGTAGGACTATAGATACACAAACATAAACATGAGTTCTTAGGAACAAGTCTTAAGAATTCTGAGTTTCAGCTCCAATTCATCTTCAGTTCCTCCAAAAATGTTGGACACAGAGTCTTGGTTGGGACTACTGGGCTGGATCCAGCCTTGCGCCTGGATAGGAGGGAGCCTCCTTCACTTCTTGAGTGTTTGGATGGAAGAATCTGAACTGAGTCAAGCAGCCCAGAGGTCTGAGCAAAGCATGGATCAGTTGACTCTTTGAGCTGGCCTGAATGTTTTTTCCAGCTTGTGGAAGACAGAGAGATCCCCTAATCCAGATAAGCACCTGATTCTTAACCTCCTTTTCTCAATGTACAGTCACGTCATCTGGAGTTCAGGAGGGCTGGCTTGGACCCAGGGAACAGGGAGAGATTGACATGTGGAGACTGGCATCAAAGGGGCAGCTAGAGGGGTACAGGGGTGGCTCGGGCTCCCAGCATGGCTCTTAATGGTACTGCTTCTGTCACAGTGAGATCAGCCGGTGGTGATGGAGATGCATTGTGTGTCACTGAAGAGGAGCTAGCTGTTGAAGACGAGGACATGCCATCCTTCCCCTGCATCCAGGAGGGTAAGGGCTCTGAGGACCGTGCCTGACCTCCAGTCTGAGCTGAGAGCCCTCTGCTCCAATCCCAGGCTCATGCAAGAATCATGTCTCTCTCTTTTTGGCTTCAAAATCTGGATCTCCTTTCCCGTTTGCTTCTTGGAAAGCAAAGGGTGGAGTTGCACGGCCCTGGGTTATGCAGTGGAGATCACATCCAAGTTTCACACAAGCACCATCTGTCTCCCAGATTCTTCCTGAGACCTTCCTGCACCCTCTGCCCTCTTCTTTAGCTAGGACCCTGTCTTTAGGACCTTTTCTTCCAGCTGGCCCAGAACTGTCCCTGAGTCATATCCCATGCCATGTGAATTGTTGCTGGGAATAGGACTTTCAGTCTAGATCAGAATGATTGTTTTTAACGTGGACCTCGCGCAGCTACCCTGTGATGCCTAAGACCAAGACCAGAAAGTCTAGCTTCTGTCAGTCTGCAGGCCAGGTGTCTGGATTTGTAGGAAGTCCCGATGATTATAATCTTAAGCTGATGTTGAGTTCCCACTGGGAATTTCACAGGCTGCCACTGCATTCCCCTTGGGCTTTGGTCACCTGCCAGAGTTTCCAGGAACACCTGGCTTCCTCATTCCTTCAAATCACTGGCCCACAGATTTCTGGTACACAGAAATCATTGACTTTTCTTCCAGGAGAACTTCTAATTCCCCACAAAGTTGGGAACTGGTAACCAAACTTATGGTTCTCCAGGATATAGGTGGATTTTTAACTTGAAAACAGATATAGTCTTTGTAAACCATCTTTGTATGCTCCATCCCAAAGAGTCCCCCTGATTACAGAGTTTCAATAATAAAACCTGGGCATCTGCTAGACAAATGGATCACCCAGTTGTGCTGAAAGACTGGCTGCTCATATTGTCAGTCATCAGTAGGGCCCGCGTTGTAAGAAGGGATGTTTCCCCTGCCTCCTAGGCTGCATGGTGGTAGCAATAGTGAATGGTATTGAAGATGCTGACTCTGTCTCTTCCTTCCAGGTGGCTGTAGGACACAGAGAAAGTAGTAAAATAGGTCAAGAGTGAGGGTGGAAAAACAGCTGCCTGCTGGGGCTGGTTTGAAATGTGATGAGGACAGCCAAAGCAGGAATGTGGCATTGACCCTTGAGCTCTGGCCTCCCAGTGTGACCTCTCCTATCCTCTACCATTCCCCCTCCACAGGCCAGCCTGGGCCCCACTGCAGCCGCTGCCAGAAGAACCTGTCCCTACACACATCTGTGCGGATTCTTTACCTCTTCCTGGCCCTTCTCCTAGTGGCCGTGGCTGTGCTGGCTTCGCTGGGTGAGTCCAGGGCCTGCCCATTTCAGGCTTCAAGGAAGTGTCTTTTCAGGGCTTTGGCACCAGGAAGTCCTCTGTAAAGAACATTCAACATATGTAGCCTATGGTCCAGAGCCAACTGAGGACTTTCACTGCCTAACCAAAAGTCCTGATTCTTGCTCGAGAATTAGCCATGTGGCTTTGACCAAGACACTCTGTCATCCCGGTTCCCTATTTTCCCATAAGGAAAAGAGAATATGAGACTAGATGTGTTGTTCTCAGTTTCAGCTCTAAGTTGGAGTCACCTGAGACCTTAAAATAATACTGGCACTCGGACCTTACTGCAGATAATTAAATTAACTCAACCTCTGTCAAATCTCTGGTGTTTGGGAATTTTTATTTGCATCAAGGATCGATATCATTGGATCAGGGGACTTCTAAGCTCTTTCCATGGCCTATGTGGAAGTGTTTTTCAAAGTAAGGTTATATCCCCTTCTGCAATGAAATCCTTCCCAGTATTCAAAATGAAAATTTCCAGGTCTCACCCAGGTCTACCCACAGGGCTGGTGAAGGCTATTGCTTCTCATACATACACATATACTATCATCTGTAGGCTATAGTAGCTGGACCAGTCAATCTGGTAACTTTCACCTTTTTGTGCTTCATTTATGGTAAACTACTATAAAAAAAAAACTGCTGGTATCTCACTGCAATTCCATTCTACCCTCAGCTTCAGACTTGAAAACCCATGCTTGAATAAGCTTGTTCTAACATACCAGATATCAGAGGCCAAGGTGGGGATAGGGAGAGGCTTGCTCACCCTGAGGATGAGCGTTTTGTTAGGAAGGGCATCCGTTCCTGGCCCTGGTTGGGGTTATTCATTCACCGGCTTTCTTGGCTTCAAGAGAAGAGGCCGGTATTTTAATTTGAATCAACACTCTAGCTGTCTTCCAGTTATCCTGTAGGCATGAATTTGCAAGCCAACCACTAAGAAGTGCCAGATATTGGCAGCCATGAGTTCAATGGCATGTCACCAATGAAGAGACTGTCTTCCCACTTCATGTGCATACCAAAATGTCTGTAGAATATGTGCCAATACCAGAGCCAGAGTCCCTCATCCCTACCCTAAACATGCAAAGTCCAGATGAATTAAATCATAATCTCTGGCTGATACCCAGGCCCTATTTGTTTATTAAAAACTTCTCACTGCACTGCCACATGCACCCAGATTTGAGGACCATGCATTTCAGAACTTCCCAAGCTCTTCACCCTTGTTCAGCTCTACCTATTTCTGCTAAGCACTCCTTGGTGCTTGGCTTTCAGAAAGTGACCAACATCCCTGACCAGAAGAGAGGGAAAACCACAGTCCATGATCAACAGCAGCAATGCATGGTCCCTCAGGGACCCCACACTTCCTGGATAACCCTTGCCAGGGCCTTGGCCCACAGCCCCCAAGATGCCTGAAGTCTTTCATAAAAGCTCCAGTAGCTCAGAGAAGATACGGTGATGTCCCTGGATCATCTCAATACACCCTTAGTGGGAAGATGGGTCCCACTCTACATCTGAGAAGATGAAATGACAGAAAGCAAGATCCAAAATGAATGGGCTAAGGGGGAAAAGAGTTAGGGGTGAGCAATTTGGGGGAGTCAATGGAGAGCTTCGGGGTTTCCTTTTCAGCGATTATCTTCGCTTGGGTACCCAAGTCCTTAGGAATTGAGCCATTCTCCACTGCTTTCCCAGTTGTATAAGCAGGGAATTGGATCAGAACTAGAGCTCCTGGGACTTGAAACCAACACCCATATGAGACACCAGCATCACAGATGGAGGCTTAGATTGATATGCCACAGTGCTGGGAAGTAGGTTTTTTTCTTTTTTAAAAGATGTATTTATTTGTATTGGAAAGGCAGATTTACAGAAAGAAGGAAATACAGAGAGAAATATTCTCTGTCTGCTGGTTCACTCCCTAATTGGTTGCAATGGCCAGAGCTGAGCCAATCCAAAGCCAGGAGCAAGGAACTTCTTCCTGGTCTCCCACACGGGTTCAGGGTTCTAATACTTTGCGCCAACCTCTACTGCTTTCCCAGGCCACAAGCAGGGAGCTGGATGGGAAGTAGAACATCCAGGACACAAACTGATGCCCGTACGGTTTAAAGTGAGGTTTTAGCCACTGGTCCACTGGGCCAGATCCTAAAAATAGATTTTGAAGTGACATAAGCATTGATGGAAAAATATACATGATGGGGGCCAGTGCCGTGGCATATCAGGGTAATCTTCCACCCAGTGGCACTGCCATTCCATATGGACACAAATTCATGTCCCAGCTGTCCACTTCCTGTCCAGTCCTCTGCTAATGGCCCAGAAAAGCAGTAGAGGATGACTCAAGTCCTTGGGACCCTGCACCCATGGGGAAGACCCGAAGAAGCTCCTGGCTCCTAGTTTCAGATGCAAGATCTCTCTGTCTCTCCTTTTCCCTTCGTGAAAATCTACATGCCAAATAGAAATAAATAAATCCTAAAAACATGCATCTATGATATAATACCAATCAGTTTAAATTCTCAGAACATGCCCATTTTGCTTTTGGTTTCCTCCTTTTTTAAAAAAAAAGTTTATTTTTATTTCTTTGTTTGAAAGGCAAAGTTATAGAGAGAGAGGTGGGTGGAGAGGAAAGATCTTCCATCTGCTGGTTCACTCCTCAAATGGTTTCAGTGGGCAGGCTGGGCTAGGCTGAAATCAGCACCCTGGAGCTTCATCTTGGCCTCCCACATTGTTGACAGGTGCCCAAAGACTTAGGCTATCTTCCTGTGCTTTCCTGGGCACTTTGGCAGGGAACTGAATCAGATGTAAGGTACTTGGGAATTGAGCCAGTTTCCATATGGGATGCTGGAAGTATCCTAGGCCACTGCAGCTTAATATGCTATGCCACAGTACCAGCCCACTTACTTATGTTTTCTAAAGAAGTACATCATCTAGGTGGCTGAAAAAATTACTATCAGTGTAAAAGAGGCTCAAAGAAATACACAAACATTTTGATGGCAACAATCTCTGGTGTGAGAATTAAGGATATTTTTTTCTTTTTTGAATTTTCCCTGCTGTATGATAAGGTCCTGGTTCTGACATCTGGGGTGGGGGCTGTTATTATTTTTTTAAAGGGATACATAGTGACTCTGGAAAGCCTCCTACCAGGAGAGTGAATGGCTTAGGTTGCAGAGGGCCTGATAATAATCCTTCCCAACAAAAGACCACTGATCCACTGAACTAAGACCTGCAGTGGTTTCTTACCGGTGTTTCCCCTCCCCTACAGTCTTCAAAAAGGTGGACTCTCTCTCAGAAGACATCTCCTTGGCCCAATCCATTTATGACAAGAAGCTTGTGTCAATGCAAGAGAACCTCCAGGGGCTGGGTAAGTGTGCAGAGTCCAGCTGTGCTAATGACTGATGTAAACCAATCCTCCCTGGCAGCAGAGCAAGGTGCCTGCTGTGCTATGATGTCCAGAGCAGGGCTGGCTTCACCAGCCTTCCAGGCACAAGGATACAATGTTCACGGCTCTCTGCTTCCCTCTCCAGCCAGGCCTGGGACAGGTGGTTCTGTGGCACATCAGGGTAATCTCCTACCCAATGACACTGCCATCCCATCTAGCAAAAGTCTGCAGATAGAATCAAAACCAAGTAGAGTTCATTCTCAAAATAGCCTTGTGTATTGGAAGTGATGCTAAGACCTTCCAAAGCCCCCTAACAGGCTTAGCTCTTTATTCATCCATGCATGATGTGGTTGTGCAACCCAGAGCTCCGTCTCCAGCTTCACCCAGGCATCTTCTCAGAGGGAAGGTGACTGAGGCACCATCCTCAGAGAGTTTAGAAGGGGTGTGCTGTGATGCAGATGGAAAGCACTAAGCTGTCACAAGTCAATTTGTTGTGCCTCATTCCTCATGAGTCACAGCATGCAGATCCTAAGGCCACCCTCTGTGGTATCCACAACAGGATCAAGCAAGAAAACGGGTGTAAAAATACCCAAAGAGAGTTTAAAATAGAAAACAAATGGGAGGTTCTTGGTCATCTTCGGAAAGTTCTAAAGATATTTCTAGAATTTGGCCATGGGATATCAAAACAACCTAAATCCTACATTTCAGATCACCAAAAAGGCATTGAGAGAAAAGAACTTTTGTAACACTGACAAGGCTTTCCTGAGAATTTCACAGACACTTCAGGAAAAAAAGACAGAGTGGGGTAGCCATTTGCCAATCCATTATGCCCTGAAACGTTTTGTTGAAAGAAACAACTGTTGTCTCCTGATCTTTAGCCACTCAAAATGTTTTCCCTTTCTCCGGAAGATCCAAAAGCCCTCAACAACTGCTCCTTCTGCCATGAGGCTGGGCAGCTGGGCAAAGAAATCAGAAAACTGCAGGAGGAGCTGGAGGGACTGCAGAAGATGCTTCTGGCCCAGGAGGTCCAGCTGGACCAGACCTCACAGGCCCAGGAACTGCTGTCCAGCACCAGCAGTCAGATCTCCCAGGAGATGGGCAGCTGCTCCTTCTCCATCCACCAGGTCAACCAGTCTCTGGGGCTCTTCCTGGCACAGGTGAGGGGCTGGCAGGCCACCACCATGGGCCTGGACCTCTCTCTGAAGGACCTCACCCAGGACTGCTACGACGTTAAAGCCGCTGTGAACCAGATCAACTTCACTGTGGGGCAGACCTCCGAGTGGATCCATGGCATCCAGCGGAAGACAGATGAGGAGACCCTGACGCTGCAGAAGATCGTCACTGACTGGCAGAACTACACCCGGCTTTTTAGTGGCCTCCGTGCCACCTCAGCCAAGACCGGAGAGGTGGTTAAGAACATCCAAGCCACACTGGGGGCCTCCTCACAGCGCATCAGCCAGAATTCCGAGAGTATGCATGACCTGGTTCTTCAGGTCATGGGCTTGCAGCTGCAACTGGATAACATCTCCTCCTTCCTGGATGACCATGAGGAAAATATGCACGACCTCCAGTACCACACCCGCTACGCCCAAAACCGCACAATAGAGAGGTTCGAGTCCCTGGAAGGCCGCATGGCTTCTCATGAGATAGAAATCGGCACCATCTTCACCAACATCAATGCCACGGACAGCCATGTGCACAGCATGCTCAAGTACCTGGATGACGTGCGGCTGTCCTGCACACTGGGCTTCCATACCCACGCTGAGGAGCTTTACTACTTGAACAAGTCTGTCTCCCTCATGCTGGGCACCACAGACCTGCTCCAGGAGCGCTTCAGCCTGCTCAGTGCCCGGCTAGACTTCAGTGTCCGCAACCTCTCCATGATTGTGGAAGAGATGAAGGCCGTGGACACAAAGCATGGAGAGATCCTTCACAATGTCACCATCGTACGAGGTAAGAGCTGTCGGCAGGCAGGGCTGCTGCAAAGCTCCCCTAGCCTTGGTGGGCTCACCAGACACAAAAGCACCTGGGCTTAGGTATACTCCTAGCAGGTTAATTAATTAGCCTATGGTAATGAACAACTTAGGCAGCAACCTTGCACATCACAGTTTTTAACTGTGCCTGTTCTATAAATCCAGATTTTTACACAGATTTGCTTCATTAGGCCTACATAGATACATATACTTTATGCATTGCCTGAATTTCTTGCCATTTGGAGGGCTTTCTTTCATTGTTCCTCTTCAGGGATGTTGCATAAAATACTGTATCATGGTAGCTGCCCACTTTCAGTGGTACCTGCATTTTGTGCAAAACCATCTGTAAAATAGGTCTAATTTTTCTTTCATTTGTCTCTTTATCATGAGTATTTCCCATGAGGCTGTAGACAAAACCTGAGAAAGAAAAGACAGCATAGTAGGAATAAGAACCATAGATATTTGACTCATCTACTTGCACCTTCAAGGCCTGTTCGGACCCTATCATGTACATATCCACTCTCAAGTGATCATGGAGTACTCTATGGTGCACACCCATATTTATGCCTTATGTGTCAATTTATCTCTAGTTCACAGTGGCTGTCTTTGGTCACAGGATGACTTGATGGCCCATGATGTAGTAATCGATCTCTATTAAAACAAAGTAGCAGGCTGCCTATCAAGAGGAGAAGTTGCCTGCAGAGAACCATAGGACTTTGCTCCAAAGTCCTACACAACTAAAGAAGTGTGTTGCCATTCACCTGTCAGGGCCTACCATAGTCTCCAATAGCATCTCTATCCTTCAAGAATCTTGAGATCTGGTGGACCACATGGTTCAAGTGACAGTCACTTTCCCAGTAGCCTGGATCTATTGCAAAGCATTCTCCTGTTCTGGGATTCACTCAGAATCAGAAGATCTTCAATTCCTTGGTCAGGGTTAACATACCTGAAAAAAAGACTTATAATATGCTGCATCTAGAATCCAAACAGGGCTCCTAGACATTGTGCTTTTTTTCAGGCTTTAGAATGGGTTGGATGCAACAACCAGTCATTCACCTTAGAAGGAATACTATGATGTGCCCATAGTGCTAGAAATTTCACTGAGAGTGAAGCACCCTGAGCTTTTGTCAGACTTATGTCACACCTGCTGATGGATGTTTTTCTTACTATAAATTGATGGTTGCTACCTCTTACTCAGTAGGTCCAATCAGCATAATGCTATGAGTGTAAGGGATCAGTGTGATATCCTGTAGATGAGAAAAGTCATCAAGATCTTTCCACTCCTGCGGGGGGGGGGGGGCAAAATTACAACATAAGGCTTGAGAATTGCTACTACCCTGAAGCAGGATACTGATGTGTCTAGTTCAGCCTTGTCAGCTTGCAGCAGACTTCTCCTGGGGCGTTTATCGGCAGGGATAGCGGTAAAAACATACCTGATCATTAGCTAAAAGCCAAGTACCAGGGAATAACTTAACCTGCTCAAGCAATGGAACAGAGGCTGCAGCTGGAGTCACCACCTAGTTGAGTCTGTGATAATCACCATGGTTTTTCTAGACCCAGTGGTCTTCTGCACAGGCCATGGACACACACTGAATAGGAGTGTGGTGGGAATCGGCACCCCTGCAGCCTTCAAACCCTTAATGTAGCACAGACCTCTTCAAGGCCTACAACGATGCTTGTTGCTTTGGTTTAGTTTTTTTTTTTTTTTTTTTTTGTCTTTGTTTTTGTTTTTAGTTAGAGGTGTTTATGTTGGCTTGCAGTTGTACTTTCCCATCATGTCTCACATTTAAGGATATCAAACCAACCTGGGGATTCTACCAGCTGCCAAGGATGTCTGTTCCAATTATGCTCTCTGGGACAGGGAAAGCAACCACAGAGTGGATATAGGGGCCCACGGAGTCTGCTGTGAGTTGGACCTAAGCTACCAATCCATTGACCACCAGACCTCTATAAGCCTACCTAGTCTAACTAGATGTCACCATAGTAACATCTTAGGTCTGGAGTGAGAGTCAGATCAGAGCCGGGTCCAGTAGGCCTCAAAGGTTCTCATCAATTCTGACTCATTCCTTACCCCCAAAGCAGTCAATCTAGTAAAACACCATATATTCTTTTGAGTAAACTGACAGATTAACACTGTAAATAATGCCACACAATGGAATTTTTTCTCAAAAGGACTCTGGCTCCACTTCATTCAAGGGGTTCTGATCCTATAAGCTGATTCCCAATTTGGGAATTGACTGAAGGGCATGACAGCATTTCATGGTTCAGGTTGGAGACTTGGGTTGATCTTGAACTTCTCTGTTTACACAGATACAGTAAGAATTTGATAGACTCCTCGTCTGTTTCACTTGGAGGAACACCATGGTCAGTCAGCCAGGGCCACAGCCTTGGTAGGCAAGCTGTTCTGACTGCTGCTTTGACTCTTTTGTTCATCATAGTAACAACACACACCTGCCTTTGGCCACCTCTTAGAGCTGCCACTCACAGGAGGGCCCAGTTACTTTCACTATGTATCAATTTCTCCATCAGTGACAACAGTCCCCCCCTGTAAGGTGTGGTATACAGAGAAGAGCAACCACAAGTCTCTTCAGGATACCAGAGAGCCCTCACAAACTTTCCTCAAAGTCACGGTGTGTCCTCAGTGAGAGTGGGTCTTCAGGGGATTCTCTACTGCCAACTCTGGGCTCTCCTCCTATTCCCAGCGAGAGATTTACCTCTTTCTCCGCTGAGGTAACTCCACTCCCAACTGAGGCTTAGATTCTGTATCAAGAGTGGGTTCACGTGACGGTGTCCCAGTGAAGGCCATTGGGAGATAGTTCTTGTGGCTCACCATCTGCCAATGTCAGGGTTTTCTTCGATTCAACCTAAGAACAAAGGAAATCGGAAGCTTTACTGAGGTAGAAACCCATTTCCACACTGTTTCACTTGAACATTTCACAGCAATCCTTGTACACTAGAAAAGGTCATATTGTATAGATGCTGATGTTGCTATTTTATAGGAGAGTGACCAGAGATCATGAGGGAGAGTGTTTAAAGCATGCGCATAAGGTCACACCAGGATTGAAAACCCCGACCCCTCACCATGACTTTGAAATACACACATCTAGAGCCTAAGAAAAGGAGACCCCCCCTAACCCTACCCCAGGACATGAACAGGAAGATAACCCAAAAAACGTTCTCTGCTGAGGTGGAGGGTGTGAAACAGAGAGGCAGTATCACAAGTGTTGATCATGGAACTGTTACAAGCGTTAACAGTCAGGGATGTAAGTGTACTGTGGTCCTAATTGTGATAGAGTTCTTAAAGACATCTGTTGGAGGGATATCTGACTCTTGGTTTAACCTCCACACATTTGTTTCCATTTCTGGGTCATGAAAGCCACTTTTTGTAAAATCTCTCTTACTGAAAGCTCTGCACACAGTGCACATGCCTTCTCACAGAGGCCTCATCACTCATGCATTCATCCACAGGCAGGTGTCGGCAGGCTTGGAGGCTGGGGCTGCCAATGAGTTCTCCCCATGGCTGAAGCTGAGCTACTGTCTGCAATAGAGGGAAGGATGGAGCGGCCCCAGCCCGTCCTGATTGAAGACTTAGGACTCCAAAACTGCATAGGAAAGGAACCTGGCTTCTAATTTTCTCTGGGTCTTTAGACAGGATCATTTCATCTTCCTGGGCTTCTGCCTCCTTTCATCTTGAAATGAAGGGGTGAGATGGACTGATCTCTGAGATCTTGTCCAGCTCTGATTAATGCTAAGTCTTCATTTACTCAAAGGTGATGCTCTCACAGTGTTCATCTCGCTCATAGAAGATTCATCCCTTCCCACTCTCCAGGGTAATTTCTATGTCTATGCTAGACAGTGTTTATATGAGGACTATCATTTGGTAATTAAATAGAAAAGCCATCTCCACTTTTTAGCTGAGTTACCTGAGGCAGGGTTCTTGACTGCTTTCAACTTTATGTCCTCATCCACATTTAAAGATATCAATATCTACTTGCATGTATTCCATGGGTAGCTGTGAGGATGCATGGGAATCATGAGCATGAACAAGTTGCTGTGAACTATAAGGGGGTGTCATGTGTCTGAAATTATTATGAAGCTCAAGTGCTGGATGGTGAAGGCTCCTTGTCTTACCCATCACATACCTGGTGGAGTGTCAACCCTTAGAAGATAATTAAGCCACCATTTGTTCTGTGAGTGAATAAATGGAAGTGTGAACTTTGTGGTAGAAGCTGATGGTGGGCAAGAAGGACAGGACATGGAGAAATTCACTTTACAAACATGTGATTCCATCAGGAACCCCCTCCATGCAACTCCTGCAATCAGCATGCAGACAAACATCCATGTAGGACAGAAAGAGGCTGTCCCAGCCTTCCCTTGTTCAAGGTGAGGGAAGTGGCAGGGAAGGGGTCTTCTCTACCAGGCCCAGCAAGGCTGCTGAACACTCAGCTTGCTAGTCCAGTAGCTGCAACCTTTTGTTTGGCTGCTCAGACTCCCTGCCTAAACCAATGACTAATCCACAAATGCTTCATGGGAAAGAGCTGCAAAGGGTATTGGGCTCCCTTCCACAAGTCCCTTCTCCCTGGGATCACAGCTCTTGGTGCCTCTCCCAGCCTCTAAAATGATGTTCTGGTTTTTCCCTAAGGGCCCTGCTTGTTCTCAGCAGGAAGTTTAACCTGCTATAAACCAACCCAGCCCAAGATGAGATGGAAGTCCTGTGGCATTTTTTCCCAATAGTAACCACAGGCAAGACCGAGAGTCCCTGATTTGAACCACAATTCTCACAAAGTAGAAGGGAGCCGGAGCACAACATCACCAGAGCCAGGACTCCAGCCAGGCCAGTGTGCCTCCCACGGCACCAAGCCAGTCCCTCAAGAGGCACCCCTTCCATTTCAATTACCCTGGAAGCTGGCCAGCTGCCTCCAATGGTGACAAGTGCTGAAGCCCTGCCTGCCCATGCACCCTCGGCCCTAAATGGACAGTATCAGGGCCCAGAGAAAATGGGTGCATCCCCCTATCCTTCCTTCATCCCCTTTCTGGGATCAGGCCACAGAGCAGACCACCCTACTTGTTCCAGACATGCAGTCATTTGTGGCTGGACCCTAATGGGCCCAGGAGCCTAATTACAGCCAATGGCTTCCTTAGTAATTATGGGCCTCCCCACAGCCACAGGATGCACTGGTCCCTTCTCCCAACTTGGCCCATGACCACCACAGCTGGCATTTCTTCCTTGGCCTTCAGTGGCCCCTCTCTTTGCTCAGGGCAGCAGCCAACTCCGCCCCCCCCCACCCCCGCCAACAACACACACACTTAACTACTGATGACAACATCCTATTACTGTCTGGGTCCTTGAGAAGGGCCTCTGGTCACCTCTGTCATATTCCTTCCTCTTATACTGTAACCACTAAACTACCTTGTTGACTTGTTCCTTGACTGTGACTTTTGGCTGGTCCAAGGGGCACTTGGGGGCTCTGTTCCCCTGAGGAAGCCAGCCTCTCCACTCTCCGGGATCCCCTCAGCACACTTTAGACAATATCCCAGAGTGGAGACACCCATAGGAGTGGGAGGGGGAGACCTTCAATATATGAAGCAGAAGGAGCTAGGGTCTCATTCAGAGCTTCTATAACCTGGGTTGAAATCTGACCTGCCCCCAACAGGTGGAACCTTGGCAGCCACACCTCCTGCACAGTGCTTTGTGCTCTGCAGGGGGAGGCAACCACCTTAGTGCTGGGGACACAGCAGACTCAGTTGACAATGGTAACAATGTTCTCACCCTGGGGGAGACAGGAGAAAGCTGTGATGGAGACTTCTGCACACACATCCCCAAGAGGGTGGATGTTTGCCCCGCTTGAAAATAGGTACTCCAGGGCTGTCTGAGAAAAGAGAGCCGGAGGGGCTGACCAGAGTGGGTATGTGCAGGCCCTTGTATCTATCTCCTACTTGCCCACTGGCATGAAGACCTTTGGCAGTCCTTGCAGCTGACTACTGTGCTCCTTAGGACCAAGGATAGGAGGTGGTCTGCCAAAGATGACAGCACAGGAGGATTCCACAGTGAGAAAACAAGGGATCCCAGTCAGCCTTGGGCAGGGGGAGGCCAAACTTGCCAGGGTGGGAGTCATCCAGCCCAAAGGCAAGGTGGACAGTTTAGTACTAAAGAGCCAGGGTGGGTGCTGCCTCAGGGAGGCAGCCAGGAAGGGGCGGGGGAGAGTGTCCTGCTGGTCAGGATGGGGGGGGGGGTACCCCAGACCCAGGAATCTGGGGCCATAGGCCTTTGGAAGCAGTAAAGTACATTTCCATTGCATTCTCAGTTACATGAAATACAATTCAACTGTTTCATTGCATGGCGTGCAGCTTCACTGCATGCACTAAGTGTGGTTCCATAGTGTGGCTCCATAGTGTTAAGTCCACCTCCCAGAGGAAACCCAATTTCTGGAGAGACTTGTCCCGCCCGGCGGCTCCACTCCCACCCACCCACAGAGCCTCCTGGGGCCTCTCTGCCTCTGAAAGGCTGTCTGCCTTTCCAAACCTCAGCTGGCCCCAAGTGCCAGCAGCAGAGTCAGGGTGAAGACAGATTCTGTAACTTTGCCAACTCCCAGCAAGGCATGCCAGGCTGGGGGAGCCAGCTCCAGCATGGGCATCTGTGTATGTCTGTGTTTTTCTGGCTGCCACCCTGCCAGCAGTACTGCACTAGGGACCAATGGGGAGGTCCTGCCACCTGGCTTCTCGAATGTCAGGCTGCTGCCATCAGCTGCCAGCTGCTCCTGAGCCCCCAGCTCCTCACCATCCTGACTACAGAGCCCGAACCCGTGCTGCTGGCAGACCACATGAGATGCTGCAGAGCCACACACCTGCAACAGGAGGTAGGCATGTGCAAGTAGGGACAGGGAATAGCCTGGAAGGTTTCTCTAGGACCTGGTGGGGCTGCCCATCTGTTTCCACTTTAGGTCATAGTAGAGGATGGCACTCTCCACCTCTGATCCACTTAGAAACACTCCAGGAAGGAACTCTGGGGGAAGCAGTAGGGCGTGGACAGCTCGGGAGGCAGAGGGTGTCACTGATGGTGACCCTGATGTCACAGAACTGGAGATGGCAATGAGAAGGACTATCCACTCCTGGCCTACAGAATCCACCCCCCTAGAAGCCCATTTGAGTGCTAGTTTCCACTCAGGAAGTCCTGGGGACCTCACTTCACCTCTGAGGTATAACTGCCTTCCCTGTGGAATGCCTCCAGGAAGTTCCAAAACTCACGGCTTTACTGCAAAGAAGAAAATGCAGCAGCAGCTTGCCCCTGCCCCCAAGACCCAGGCTGGGGCTCACTGCTCTCACCAACCCCACCCACCAGCCATTTGCCCAGACTGCTGAAGAAGGTGGAATGCAGGCTGTGATGGGACAGGCTATTGTTTGCCACAATCCCTGACCCCTTTCCTGTGTGCACGTGTGGCTGGCTGACCTGCCCAGGCATAGCCATGGCCACTTTCTCCTGTGTGTTCTCAGAGCTGGGGCATGGCTGGAATGGGGGTGAAGAGAGGGTCTATGACTTCATCTTGTTACCTCCCCAGGGCTCATGGCTGGAGAATCAAGGCTATACCAAGGTCTCCCAACCATTAGCCAGGCTCTGTTTGTGTCCAGGGCTGAGATGGGAGACATGACCCTCACCCGTTATGCAGGATCCATTTGCTAGACACCTTACATTTGCTTCCACTGTTCCTTGGTTCTAACCTCAAAAGCTCAGGAAAGAAGCTAGAGTGGTCAGCGTGGGCTTCCTGGAGGAATTGTTCTTCTTTGACAGTCAGTGGGCCCACCTGCTCATGTCAGGAGCCACCTCCAGATTCTGTTGTCTCACATTCCTGGTTTCCTCCTCTATGTCATTCCCCGGCCTCAGTGACTTCAGTCGTCCCAGGGGTGATGGTCAAAGATTGCCATGAGGTATAAAATGCCCTCTCAGATCATGACCTGAGGGCGCAGGTGGAGCGGGGACAAGCCTGGAAGTCAGAAGAATGAGTTTTATAAGCCAATTGTGTACCTGGCATGTGGCTGCAGAGATGCCACTGTTCTTGTCATCACTTCCCAGATGATAGCCAATGGTGGCTGCCCTGGAAAAGGGCTTCTGCTTATGCCCAGGCTGTCAGTGTGCCTGCTGTGTCCTGAGTGAACCCTTCACAGACTGACCTCTTCCTTCTTCTCTCTCCTCCCAGGTGCCCCCGGCCCTCCAGGAGCCAGAGGACTCAAAGGAGACATAGGCACAAAAGGGCCTGCTGGCAGCAGAGGACCTAAAGGAGACCCCGGCAGCTTGGGCCCACCAGGCCCCCAGGGTCCCCAGGGGCAGCCAGGGGAGGCAGGAGCTGCAGGAGAGAGGGGACCCATTGGTCCTCGGGGTTTTCCTGGCCTCAAGGGCTCCAAGGGCAGCTTCGGGACTGGAGGGCCAAGGGGACAGCCAGGTCCCAAAGGAGATGTGGGGCCACCAGGACCAGAGGGACCCCCAGGTTCTCCAGGACCTTCAGGGCCTCAAGGAAAACCAGGAATTGCAGGGAAGACAGGCTCACCAGGCCAGCGGGGCGCCATGGGGCCGAAGGGTGAGCCAGGGATCCAGGGTCCTCCCGGCCTTCCTGGGCCCCCTGGCCCTCCAGGTAGCCTGAGCCCCTACTAAGGAGGGCCTCTCAGACCAGACCCTGCCAGATAGAAGGGCAGCAGGGCCCTGAGCATCTCTAGCTCCCCAGAAAGCCTCACCTACAGACTGTTAGGGTCCTTTGACTCCCCTGGGTATCCTCCACACCTGACCTGCAGCTTTGGGCTCACCCAACCACAGTGATACAACTTATGGAAAAAGCACCCCTAGACATCCACGCACATGCACACCCCACTCACCTGCATACACACATACACACCCGTGCACACGCATATACACATGCATGCACATCGCCCTGCTGGTCAGGAGGTCTACTGGTTTACCCTGGCTGAAAAGGAGGAGAGGGCCCTTCTCCTATGAATGAGCCTGCCAGCAAGCAGGCTACCTCGGGAAGGGGATCTGCAATCTGTCTCTGAATGGTGTCCATCCACATCGCCACACCTGTCCCAGCAAACAAGTTTCCTGGGTCTGCCCAAGGTTATGAAACCTCTGCAGCTTGCACATGAGAGTTAAAATTCCAGGGTCAAGGTTAGGGGTTAGGGGTCTACAAGACCCTCCCCATTGTTATAGGAACAGAGTCCTCAGGAAACTGTCCACCCCCTTCACGTAGGCAATGGGACTTTGCCTAGCCTGCCACTTTTTGCCCTGCCCACAGGGTCCCAGACACAGTCAAGCTTTTTTTTTTTTTTTGTCAAGTAACCAGAACATTCCTTGCTTCCCCCTTGCCTCCACATCTCAGTCTCGGGAGTAACCCAGGAAGAATCCATGCTAGAGTTTCATCTCTCAGGTTCTGGAATATTCTACCGCAGTGATGTGCAACCCCAGGGAAGTTTGCAAAAGCAGGAAGCAGAGGAGAGTGTGGAAGTTCTCCCAGCAAAGGGTTCACCTTTCTCCGAGGGAGCTGGCCTGTCCCTGTCTGCCAGCTAGCTCCTCTAAAGGCAGAAGAACACCACAGGCTGCAAGGAGGCAGCTCTGGCCTCCCCCCACACAGCAGCGCTCCTTGTGCTACCTGTTAACCTCACCACACAATGACCCAGCATGGCCGAAGCCTTCTCTGCACGAAGGGCCTGGACAGCCCCAGGAAGCTTACTTGGACATCACCCTTGCCTCTCCCAAGCCTTCAGACATCACTGGCAGATGGGGATGCTGGGGAGTTACCCTGCAGGAGGAAGGCCTCCCATGAGCCCCTTTTATGCTCAAACACATTCCAAGTGCGGGTCTCCCAACACACCCCTGCCGGGGGAGGGGGTGGAAGCATGCAGCTGCCTCCTCTCCAACACTGACTCAGACCAACCTGTTCTACTTTCAAGGCCTTGCTGCCACATTCAGGACTGTCACGGCTGTGCAACTGGCTTGCACTACCTGCCCCTCCCACTGCAGTGTCCTTCTCCAGTCTACATATGATTGTATCGTGCAACATAGTATCTCTGACTCAGTAAAGAGTTATTTCCAGGAGGGAGGGATCTGCTAGTCCTTTCTGTTCTACCTGATGACATCAGGGCCCCACTCACATCGCACGTCAAAAGAGAAGCCACATCTAGAGTCCCCCAGAGAATAAGTCCTGCAGTGGGGTCTGGCTGTATACCCAGAAGCATCAAGCTTTGCTTGTGGGTTTGCTTGCAGTCATTCACAATGAGGCTGGGATGTGATAGCTGCCAAGAGGCTTGGCCCCTGAGGTCCAGGGTCTGTGTGATGGATGGTCAGCTCCACTATTCTTGCAGCATGGCCCTGAAGATCTTGCACTAAACAGAGATTTAAAGCTACAACAGGCCTGGGACCCCCTGAAGGATACCTACTGCCTCCTTCTTTGTCTCTGAGATCAAGAGATAGAATAGGAAAAAGTCAGGCCATACCAACCCCCAAGGACCTGGCAGCTCAGTCTCATGGAAATCAGCCTGAGCCTGCTCCAAGAAGATATTTTTAAAGATTTATTTATTTTTATTACAAAGTCAGATATATAGAGAGGAGGAGAGACAAAGAAGAAGATTTATATCTGATGATTCACTCCCCAAGTGACCTCAATGGCTGGTGCTGCGCTGATCCAAAACCAGGAGCCAGGAACCTCCTCCAGGTTCAGGGTCCCAAGGCTTTGGGCCATCCTTGACTGTTTTCCCAGGCCACAAGCAGGGAGCTGGATGGGAATTGGAGCTGCTGGGATTAGAACCGGCACCCATATGGGCTCCTGGCGCATTCAAGGCGAGGACTTTAGCCACTAGGCCACTGCGCTGGGCCCCCTAAGAGGTTTTTTTTTTTTTTAAGTCACATTGATCTCATTCACTAGGAACATTGCAGCCTGATATAAGCCCTGGGCCTTGGCTGGGTTTATCTGGGGACAGATGGGAGAAACACAGTACAGGATATGAGCCAAGGGTATAAAAACGAGGATGGGGCCAAATGAGACCATGGCACAGGGGTCTGGCCACTTTCTCTACCATCGTGTGCACATAGAGTTCCTCCTCCCACCAGCAGCTAGGATGCTGGGGGCAATAAGATAGATGCTATAGGGGCTGCAGGCAGAATGAGTCTTAGAGCCCACCCTTTGGAGGCCCACCTCCTCCTGGGAGAGCCACATACAGTAAAAGCTACAGCTCCATCAAGAGCCATGCAGGAAACAGGCCCAGGAGGGTGGCATCAGGGGGTGAGTCAGGCAGGGGAGACTGGGCAGATGAAGGAAGGTGACCATACAGTGGAGGCACAAGGGTGCCAGGCTTTGGAGGAGGCAGGCAGAATGTGCCAGTGGCATCAGTTCACTTTCTGAGCCCTGAGCAAATCTCTAGGAAACTGACTACTCATCGTTCAGGCCAGCAGGAGAAGAGAAAGGCAGAGGTGAGTCAGCCATTGCCCTGGAGTCAAGAGCCACAAAAGTGACAAAACTGGAATGAATTCCAAGGGCTGCTTGGGACTGCAGTGTGAGACAAGATCCTATGAACAAAGACAAAAACTCATACATCCCTAAATTGTCCCAAACTAGCCCCTGGCTACGGGGATTAGAAGAATCAGCTGGGTTTAAGGGCATAAGGCAAGGGCAGACACTACAGAGACCACCCGTGCAGTCACATCAAGCTCCCTCAAGGAAACCTGAAGGTGCATTCATAACAGGGACACAACAGGGAAAAGCAGGCTACAGAGATAGATGTCTGGCTAAAAGATGGAGGAAAATGTGAGCATCCACAGCCACTTTCCTTGCTCCAGACAACCAATAGGTCTCTCCCCTCTCTCTATGGGTCACTGACCCCTCTTGGCAGCTTTCTCCGGGTCAGTGCCTTCTGCTTGCACAAGGCCCCAAAGGAAAGAGCTGCCACTCTCCATCTACCCATGGTCTCAGCCCTTTAGTTACAAATTCCCAATCAATACAGCAATCTGATGACTGGTCCTTTGGGTCCAATCCAATGAACTGTGATGATAGAGGAAAATGGGGACAGGTGCTAAAAGATGCAGGCAAAACGAGCAGTGAGCTCCATGGTGGGCAACTTAGGAGTAAGAAAATAGCAATGACAGTCAATACCACTGGAAGGTTATTGTGTGGCACAACCCCATTTATAAATTGTTCTTTTAGTAGCTCATTTATACTTCACTACCAGTGAGTTTTTAGACATTTCTGGAAGGCAACTCAGTCTTGAGCAAACCACTGAATCATCCTGTGCTTCTATTTCCCCCACCATACCCACTCTCCTTCCCTATAAAACAGGGTCATGACCCACCCCTGAAGTTGCCAAGGAGATGCATTTGGCCAACTGCCTGGTAGACAGTCTGCTGGAGCTACCATAGCCAAGCATCATGGATTACATGGCTGGAATAACAGAAGTTTAATTGTCACAGCTCTGGTAACTGAGAAGTTCATGACTAAGGTGTCAGTTCTTCCTAACTTCCCATTAGCTACCTTCTCTTCTGAGTCCGCACAGGGTGGCACATGGATGCTCCCCTGTCTTCTAAGGCCCTAGTCCTCTTAGATCACACTGAGTCTTAATTACCTCCTAGAGATCTTATCTCCAGATCCAGTTACACTGGGGTTGGGACTTCAAACAGGGATTTTTCAGGGATGCTGCTCAACCTATAGCATCCAATGGTGGCGAACAAAACAGGAGCCAGGGAATCGCCTTGGGCCAACATCACTCCACCCTGCACATGAGCGGCCAAAACATCAGCCCATATACTGCTGCGTCCACAGTCTGTGTTGGGAGGGCCAGGAGAGACCAGGAAAAGTCATCAAGTCCAACTCCTTCCTTTTCAAGAAAGACACTGAAGGCTGAAGGAGGCCATCAGGCTCATTGCACATCTACAACTAGAGCTATGGTCTAGGTCCTAGACACAGAGCTCTCCCCTCTCTGTCCATGCAGCCACTGTGGTTCTCAGACCACCCCTCCTGTTCCACATTCCCCAGCAAGTGCCCACCCCCTGCTCAGCCACAGGCCAAGGCAACACATGTGAGCCCAAAGTGAAAGGAGACAGCAGATGGAACTCCAGCCATTGAACCAAAAGCTTTTTCCCTTTGGGGTGGTTTTAACCCCTAGAGATTAACAAAGCTCTGAAGGTGCTCCTGAGCCTCCTTCTAAGGCCAGAAAAGGGCTTTCTGGAAATGACAGGCCTGAGTTTTGTCCTCTGAATGCCTCTAAAGCTCCAGGCCTGCCCACTCATTTCACCCTGGCAACTCCAGTGCCTATCCAGCAGGACAGGAGGAGGTTGGGCAAGCCTCCCTCCCTTTCTCCAGATCCTCTTCTCTGAGCCAGACCTGAGTTGGCAAGGGCTGCCTCGCCAGCCTTGGACACACCTGTCAAAACAGAGACCCAGGAGAGGTGATCAGGGAGCAGAAAAATATTGTCTGGCCACACAAAACTTTCCAGCAAGGCTGGGCGGGGTTGCCTCGGGCTGGCAAGGGCCAGTCTTCCTGGGAATTGCTTGGGGTGTAGAAGTGCAGTTCATTGGATTTCCTTGCCTTCACCTGTCCTTTTGTTTTCTTTTGAAGGCTTCCTAGGGTAAAGATCTAAGCTTGGTGTGATGGGAGGTATGCATATGCAAAGGCTAGTGTTG